CACCTGTCTAAGCCGTGAGCCGCCAGCTTCTCGAGGAGAATGCTGTGGGAGACGGTGTCAAAGGCCTTACTGAAGTCCAGGTAGACCACATCCACAGCCTTTCCCTCATCCACTAGGCGGGTCACCTGGTCATAGAAGGAGATCAGGTTGGTCAAGCAGGACCTGCCCTTCATGAATCCATGCTGGCTAGGCCTGATCCCCTGGTTGTCCTGCACATGCCTTGTGAGCGCCCTCAAGATGAACCGCTCCATAATCTTCCCCGGCACCGAGGTCAGGCTGACAGGCCTGTAGTTTCCCGGATCCTCCTTCCGGCCCTTCTTGTGGATGGGCGTCACATTGGCAAGCCTAAACATCTCCCCTTGCTGCAGGTTTCCATCTCTTCTTCTGTGTGTTCCCCCACCAGTATTTCTTCCCTGGGACCAGTTTTTGGTCGCTGACCTGATCACTAAGCGTGGAGAAGCTGGCACTGCTGAGAGAGGAGCAAGAGACATCCCTAACATCAGGGACTTAAAGTCTGTAACACAAGCTCTTTTATAGTTAAGCTGGATCTTTTCTGTCCAGCATATTCGGTCATTTAAAATATGTTCAACTTTTCTTCCAAAATTATTTGTTCTTGCATTGGTGTCACCTGTTCTGTCTGCTAAAGAAAAAAATCGTTTTTATAGCTGTGATAACTTTGAGATTAGTAATCAGATTCTGACAAAATATCTCAGCAGTTTCACTGCATTTGCCTGATATCGAGCACTAATGAAGAAAACAAAATCAACTGGAACTTTATAAACTAATTATCCAGTCTCTGATTCTTCTCAATAGAAGGATATAGAAAAGCTTCATGACTAATAACTTGGTAAATATGCACTTTAAAAAGAATACATAATTCTAGCTTATGTTGTTTTTGAAGTAGATATTGTCTCTTCATTTGCAACAACTCCACCATAGCAGTACTACTCACCTAGAAAGCTTTCAAGCAGCGCTACACAGCTACAATACCTATTCGATCTGGGTATGCATACCAGAGAGCTGCTTTGATCTTACCAGGGAGAGGGAGAAGGTACATTTGGCACAAAATAATTTTAACTTTTACAAAAGTATTTCTAGTTTTGAAGAAAAACATCACTTTTATTGCCACTATTATTTTCCACTATCATCCCAAAATGCATCACTGTAAACCATCGCATAGTGTGAGCTAAATAAGAGCTCAGGAATATTTGACATCACACAATGATGGCTGACTGAGAGCAGCCAAAGATAAAAGTGTCCAAAAGAGAAGAAAACAAGTGAGTAATTCACTTTTCCACTGAATATCTGGGTCGCGGGATTGTTTTATTTCCAGGCTCAAAATTAATGCAACTGTCATGACAGATTTTTAGTACTGTAAAGGCCAGAATAGCAGTTTAAGAGCAGTTTCATTCCAGGTCCCAAAGGAGGCAGTTTCGCAATTGGTATAGACTGCTCTGACTTCCCATTGGCACAGAAAGGGGTGATCCCCCTCTCTCCCCTTGCTGCAGGTTTCCATCTCTTCTTCTGTGTGTTTCCCCACCAGTATTTCTTCCCTGGGACCAGTTTTTGGTCGCTGACCTGATCACTAAGCGTGGAGAAGCTGGCACTGCTGAGAGAGGAGCAAGAGACGTGTCCTTTAGGGTCTTGCCTAGCGGGATTCCCACCTCATAGC